TAATTAAAGAAACCCTATTACACATTAAAATATACCTTGAGTTCGGTAATAAACTCAGTGCACAGTTATTAAAAAGGTATTAGACAACATATTTTGATTAGACTGTTGGTTCCGTATAATCACGTTTATGATTATTCGGATAAATATTGTCAAAGAAGCATTGACAACAGAACTTCGGTTCAAATTAACCATTAAAAAAATGTTTCAGGAATTTTAAATATATCATGGAGACGAAATTAACATTAACGATGAAAAAAGTGCGCAGAAAAATGCTAGTTATTCTATGGACAGAATATTCCCAAACATCGAATTCACCACCTGAATGCACAACCATGAAAAAAGAGATTTCGGTTAACATTTGTAATAGATGTTTGACTACATTCTGATACGGATAATTATTTTCATATCCACTAGATGAGGAGTGTCAGTATCAAAAAAAGATTGTTTACTCATATGACTGTTTAGTTAGCAAATAAATCGCGTGATAAGATGTGATTAGTTTTGTCATTACTGAAAATCTATAGTTAGTTAATTAGTTAAAATATTGATAGTTCACATCTTTATTACGACTGTTTTACAATTCAAAGTCAAGGTCAAGGGAAGCTATAATTAAATGAAAATGAGCATGGATATTATAAGACAAATCCATTAGATTTTTGTAGATTTGTATTGCAAATTATTAATACTTCAATGGTCACAAATGGAGTCTCTTGTACGAGTTGAAACTAAGTCAAAAGATCAAACAAAGTAGGAATACAGTTGACCTTTTAGCTACTAATCTTTTAAACGAACATTTTGGTGTTTTTAAAATTCATTTTGTTTCGATTTTACACTTCTTTCAAACTCTTCAATAGTGTTTATCATTAAACCAATCTCATAATTCACTTAAAATGGACGTATATATATATATAATTTAAATTTATAATTAGGTGTAGCTACATGTGTTTGTAAAACTGGTTACACTGGGTATGACTGTAATCAACCATTCGACGCTTGTATATCTGATACAATACTGAAAATGAATCCATTAGACGCTAGTCCATATATACCATCAGGATATGAAGCATGTGGAGCTCTGTTAAATCCAACTAATAAATGCAATCCAATGAATGATATGTTAACTTACAATTGTACGTGCAATATAGGATATACAAGAGATTTGTCTTTACCATATGATAATTGTTTGAAACAAAAAGATAAATGTGATACACATTTATGTTTGTATGGTGAATGTATAAGTTCAAAAGTAAGGTTTATCATTTATTTGTTCATTGAGTTTATTTAAATTTCATATACAATTTGATTTACAAGTTGAACATATGATTACATTTAGAAATTAGTGACTAAAAACCACTGGTGAGTAAAATAAAAATTGGCTGCAACTGTAATCATCTATTTAAATAGGAATAATATATTTGTAAAATCTCAGCGAATGAATTTTTTAAAATTAAATCTAACGTTTCGCCTGGCAATCTGGTCCAAGCTTTATATTCGATAATTTTGATGTTTGATTATAATTCCTTGAAAACGCTTGGACCAGATTGCCAGGCGAAACCTTAGATTTAATTTTAAAAAATTCATTCGCTGAGATTTTACAAATATATTATTCCTATTTAATGTCTTACTTCAACTCGGCGCTCAAATACTGTGAAACTATTCGTTCTAATTTAGACGAGAGTTCTTATAAATCATCTATTTAGTCTCGAATATAATGAAACTCTTTCAATATGTGGTAGCTGGAGATAGCCGATGAAAAGCCCTTGATATAATTTTAGTGTTAGCTGACATTTGCCAACAAGATGTATATTCAATTTTAGTTGAACTTACGTTGTCAGCAAATCCGTGTTGGAATTATATAAGTACAACGTACAACTTCAGTTGAACTGAAAAAATGCTTCATTACCTTTTTTGAGAAGCTTACAAACAAACTGTGAAACAGTTTCTGCTTCGCATTCAATAATTTGAGAACAGTAGATTATACAGTAACTTATCGATCAACGTTGATATGATTTCCCAAATGGATCGTGTTGTTAAATATTCTGGTACGGCCTAAGTGAGCAACAAATAATGGGAAATAAATCATTGTCACAATTTGATGCTAAACTTTCTGACGATAATCCGAACTGCTGTGTGAATTTTTACTTCAAGCCTGAAGGAAACTGTTACCGTTGTGACTGACTGCCGTTTTAAGTAAACAAGTATATGTTATTTGAATGTTTGTTTTTTTCAAATTTGATTGATTTAAATATGTAAAATTTTACTGTGACACTCAATTTGTTTGTTAAGACAATCTAACCATCATAGAGCCTATTAATTTACCGAACGAATATCCTGATTTTGTCCTGTCTGAAACGATGGATGTTTTTACAGTAACACACGAATACGATTGACAAGTATGCTTAAATAACCGAGTTTATTGACTAAGTACAGTTTGAGAAAGACTGAACTGAAAATAAAATACCATTATATCCCCATCATTTTATCCCTTCCTTTTCCTTGTTTCCCTCCACCTGAGGAGGAAATTAAGAAAAGACTTTGGAAGTGGATAGGATATATATTACGGAAATCATCAAACTGCATCACGAAGCAAGCCCTAACATGGAATCGTGAAGGTAAACGGAAAAGAGGAAGGTCAAAGAATACACTGCTCAGAAAATTGGAAGCAGACATAAAAAGGATGAGTGGCAACTGAAAAGGATTGGGACGGATTGCCAAGGACAGAGTTGAATGGAGAATGCTGGTGGTCGGTCTATACTCTTCCGAAAGGGGTAACAGGAGTAAGTAAGCAAGTAAAGTTAGTAATTTTTCTTTGTTTCATAGATTTATTTCTACTACTACTGCTAATAATCCTTTCCCTCCAGATTTATTTCGCCTATACGGAACAATGAACAAATAGCAGAAACCTACTATTTCACATAGTGTAGAAGAACTTATTTTGTTTCACACTTTTCAATCTTATCTATACTGAATACTAAAGGTCTCAATTTTAACTCAGTTGTGAAAAAATTACGACACATCTCTTCGGGTCCTCATCATAAAAGGCTCACATTCCATACTAATCACCTGTTAATGCTTGAAACCTAAGAAGTTGTCAGTGCATCAGTAACCTTCCGAAGTAACAGTAATCGTAACAAGAAAGCATTTTTGAGCTCAGATTAAAAATAGAAATGTCAAGAGTGTACTTGGAAAAATAAGTTTGTTAGCTATGATTTTAGGAGAAGTCCAACTCGAGGTAGCCTTATGTAACTCAAGTCTGGTGTAAATAACAGGAATAAGATAGATCGAACTTCAAGGTGCAATATTTAACACCAGTCATTCATATTTGTCAAAGAAAATACATTTAATAAGTCAACAGTCAGTGGTAATGCTGTCTTACATTGCAGTAATTAATCTTTTACCTGAAAACTTTTAGTCTGCTTGTTGTAATCAAACAACATAGTTCCGGCTGGTAAACACTGACAAAATATAAGGTCTTAAGAATGTCATGGGAGAAGTAATGCTCATGGGTTGTTCCATGTGACTGTTCAATTGAACAAGAGGCAATAAGTTAGTCAAGATCTCTAGGATTTCTATTTTTTATCAGCAGTAGTAAGTTGGTGGCTGATAAATTCTTAGTGGAAATACAAAGTATTCACTTGGCTTCTTTCAGCTTCAACAATCTGCACTGCAGATAATCCACTTGTCTGTTTATCAAAAAGGTGTTAAACTACACATGTGTTTGAGTTTGTATTACTTGAATGCTATGAAATATGACCTGCAAGAATAGATTACAGTAGTAGGGAGCCAGTGCTCTTTATGATTAAAGTAGTGCTCACATACTTTGTAATATTCGATTGGAATGATTTACCACTTTTATTTGCTGAGATGTTTGGTGGACGCACGCTCCACAATTTCATCTAGTTTCTCTGAACACCTATCTTGACTAGTACAAGACTAAATTGAAAAAACTCCAGCAACTGGCAGCAAATTTTGTACCATCAGTCTGTAAATTAATGGTAAACAAGTTTGATCGGTTTAGAATTATTTGCATTGTTTGCTTGAATCTTCCACCTGATGTTTAAGAATGTAATTGATCGGTCTCTTATCGATATATATGCATCCTGTGAGGGTACATCCAAACACATCCAGCTGATGAGTCTCAAATAGGATGAAGCGCGTATCCTGGATTCCATCGCTGGCCACCATCATTCTTTAAAAATTAAATATGTTTACAATTATCATTAAATATAGGTTTTTTGTCAATTAAGCAAGCAAAGATTTAATTGACTTATTCAATTCAGTGCGATTTTTGTTCAAAATTACTCTCACTATAACCTCATAGATTGAATGCCGAGGATATTATCGGTTTATTCTCAGTGTGACAGTTTGTAAAGTATAGCATTTTATATCAGAGTAACGTTTATGCATTGCAGTGTTATTCGTATTATTTTAATATGAAATTTGTTCAGCATAATAATTAGCATATATTTTTGCAATAATTCTGTATATTTTCCTTGTATGTAATATTCATTAACTGACTATCGGTATATAAAATTGGTATGAAAAATGAGTGTATTGTCTTAAATACTTAATATTTCGTAGGGTAACATAAATCTTCTGCAATCAGTTTTCATTTTTTCATTTATGTCGTAAAAACGTCACTGTTTTTCGGGATGAATTAATACAGCATTTCGGGATTCCAACAGTAGATGTCTAGGGGCTGGTTCTATGTCGAGGCCTCATAGGTTATTTAAGCCTCCGGACAGATCAATCTATTCATTCTTCTCAAGCTGCATTTTGACTTATTCACAAATTCACTTATCAACCTTGGCCGCTTTTATGCAAGCGTATATGTGTGCATTTCTTAGCCTACTCATCACATGTCTGTAACTTATTTTTGTGTGACTATAAATATCGATTAACGCTTGATTAAATCAAGTTGGCTAATTCAATTTCTCCATTGTGTGTCATTTAGTTTCCCTTCCCCTTCCGATCAACGACTGTACAAAAAAATATACGCCCTCAAACTTCGTTCTTGTACTTGAATTATTTAATTTCGTTATTCACTGACACGATTTAATTGGATGATTATATGCAAGAATTAGCGAAATGTATATTTCGATTACAAGCAGGAAACAATCTACCTGGAATCAGACATTGAGCCACAAAAGACGCACAAATAAAAGATTTCATATAACTACAAAGTGTTTTACCTTTACTTGATAACTAGTTAATCTATTAGAATTTGTCAATGCACTCACTAATTAACTTCTTAGAAATCTTCAAAAGAAATAGTTGAAATCAAAGTTTTCATATATATTTTTTCCAATTAGTGTAACTATATGTATTCACAAACTGTATTATGTAATTTCTAGTAAAATTTGAGAAGGAAATGTACTATCCGAATTGGTTATCATAAATATCCATTTCAAAATCCAATGTCTTCTACTCAACCCCGAAATCTATCACGTCTCTTGTAACGTTCTCTTGCATAAAATTTTGAAAAGTATTCATCTCCACATTCATCCTTTATGCAAACAAAAATAAATAAACTAATTGATTTTCAGATACATAAAATTTTATCAAACGTTGAAAAATAGTTAATATTATTGATAAACCAGTCTGTTATATATTGGGTAATTGCTTTACTCTTAAAATCAACCAATGTAACTATTACAGTTAAATGATTTGTGGAAGGGCGTTTGAGTTATATAGACGGTGTACTTCCCAGCCAAGCTCACATTAAACGTTTTTTATATAGCAGGTAGAGATAGGACTGCTTAGAATTGTACATCATCACTAAACCTGGGAATCTCAAAACATCATCCGGAATACAACGCTATTCAACACAATGATTCAAAGTTCATATCAATTAACTGTTTGGTTCTTTTCAGTGTTCATCTATCAGGTCTCAACGTTTTACTAAAGTGTCTGATGAAACAGTTGTATGGAGCTCTTTGGTTGCAATAATTTCCCCGATAGTCAAACAATATTACTAGTTTAGTAGATTGGCATAATTTAACTTGTACAAAAAATAATTTAATTATTCACCTTTAACTATATATATACAACTATCCACACGCGTTGGTTTTTGAAATCCATCATATCCGGTAAAAGAATATACAAATACAAGCTATATACCATTATTATTCTTATAATGGTTGTCTTAGGCGTAAGATAAAATTTTATCTGCATGATTTTCACATCAAATAATTTGATTAATGTATATTTCTGTTTATCGTCTGATAGTATTCAATAGCATGAAGCCCTAAGCTCTACTGATCACCTATTTCAATTCTTTAACAATATTTCATAAATTAAATTCTTGACTCATGTATATTTGATAAAATATCCTTGTAAATATTAAGTAGAACTAGGAATATTAACTTACCATTAACTGCTGTAAATCAGAAATACACTGATTTTCATGGACATACCTGGTCGAAAGTTAGGTAAATAAGTAAGAGAAATTAATCATAATTCAGTAATTATGTATACGATTATGTATGTATGTATTAGATTGTGGACTGTTTACGTAAACAGATGTAATTAAAATAATTAATCATTTATCTTACCAAAATTTCATGCAATTAGTTCCCTTTATGAATTTAAATAAAGACAGAACAAATATTGATGCAGAATAATATGAATTCATTATATTTCATGGCTTCTCATGAGTTGTCAAAGCACATACATTAGAAGAACCGAGAGAATAGTACATGTTCGCATTTCTGAGCATGTTCCAAAGAAACTGAGGCTGAGAGGGACCAGGGCTCTCAACAGTGCAATAGCTCGGCATTTACTTGACACCGGACACACCATTGATATTTCTCATGCTTTCAAAATTATCAGCAGACAAAGAAGTACGACTGCTCCCCGGTTCGCTGAAGCGATCGCGATAAAAAACTTAAACCTGATCTATGTATTCAAAAAGAGAGAGTGATAAACTTATTACTACCCTATTAATCTATTTTTTGTTGTTGTTGTTGTTTTAGTTTTTTTTGGTTATTAGTTTTATTTTGGTTAATATTTAGTTTGTATTATATTCCTCTTCCATTATCCAATTCTTAAACCACCCTTTCACTGACGCATTTCCTCTCACTTGTTTCTCTTAAATTATGTGAACTTTTCAAATTCTATTCAATTATTACGTAGCCCATCCTATTTGTTTTTAATTCCATGAATCCTTCATTACCTCTAAAATTATCACACATTTTATGTCTCTAAACTCCATTCAACTATTATTATTATGTTTCCTTGATTCTAACACCTAATAACCTCTGACCCTTTCAGTTACCATTGTTATCATTGTTATCATTGATAAACTTTTGTCATTCCAATCCTTTACCTTCACTTATGTCAATTGTTCCACACTATTTATTACCCCTATGCTAAAATTCTAATACATATTTGGTTGTAAGCAGCTGATGAGAAACCACGAAATATAATGAATTCGTATTATTCTGTATCAATGTTTGTTCTGGCTTTATTTATATTTATCTTACGATAAATCAACCTAATGTATAACAAAATAAAATACATAAATTGTCAATAACGTTTTCGTAGATTCATTGAGTTTATAAGTCGTTTTATTTTTTAAATAAAAGTTTTAGCTTTTAATGATAAATCATTGTTTTGTTTTAAGAGTGTAAATGTCATCATTTAATGTCTGAAAGATGAAGAGTTCATCAATATGATCTTGCAAATAATCAAAAGAATGTAATAAGAACTGACGAAAATATGATTAAATCAACAAGGTTCCATATTTAATAGTTTTCCTACGGATTAGATCGAAAAGAACTACTTTTGAACATTATTAAAAGAAGCAAAAATACCCTCAATAATAATTGTTTTTGATTACAAATTAGTGACAAATTCAAAATAATACATTTCGTTTACTTGCAGATAGTGAAGCCTATAAACACTGAATGAGGATTTTAACCTCTTGAGTAGTCACCGAAAATCATACACATGATCAAAAATATAACTTAGCGATTCTGTAATGAGCCCAATGAGCCAGAATCCAATTATTTGCATTGTCGCTTGACGGAACATATTTACTATGGTCTTTGATTTTCAATTATTCTTCATCTAATAACAGTTAATGATGTGGTAAAAATTAGATTTGAAGTAATATCCCTGTTTTGATAAATGAGAATTAAACGTTCGATTTACGAAGATGAAAAACTGAAATGTTTCTGTATTCAGATTTAAGAAGCCAGAGATTCTCTCTTCAATACCATTTATTTAAGTTCAAAAATATATAAACTGACTTACAAGCATACATACATTTAAGTTTCGGAAGCTTTTGAAATGGCTAAATGTTTATCCACCTCATTTCGGTTTTTATACTAATGATTTACCTGTTCATTAATTCACTTTGAATTATATATCCACAAATGGTCATAATACACCTTATATTCTGTATTAAAATAGGGTTATTCCAAATTTGGATCGTATAAAGAAGGATTCGGATGAAAGAAGAACAGAAAGACAAGCGGGATATTTTAAACTCATGTCGATAAAATAAAAATTTCCTTTAAGACATCTGATAAGGAGAAAAATAGAGGTAAAAATATTTTTTACCAGTTAGTGTTTTCATCAAGGATGGATGCTAACGCATATACGATTTACAACAATAAAATAATACTGATTGAGCAGTGGTTTTACATAACAATATTGTAACTTCACTAGTGATTATTCAAATAATCTCGAATGGTTAACTGAGTAATTGGAAGGAGGGTAGCATTAATCAAAGTGATTATTTTTAAAGATTGAGAGGGCGTAATTCAACAGGTTGTCAGCTTACGTAATATTTATTGGAAAAATTAGCAAAATATTTCGTTAAAAATTCGAATTAATGTCAATTACGTAAGAATAAGGAAATGAGTGCTACAAAACCATAGAAACATGTATATGCTCAGTTGTCGAGTTTCTATATATTACCCCTTTTTAATGTTCAATTTAATCTTATTTTTAATGCGGCACCTGCAAATAATATTTTATTAATGCGTTCTTTGTGAAAAGTAAATGTAACTTATAAATACATGTTATTCAATATATTAAGTAAACTATTCTTTCCATCTTTATTTTCCAATACCGTGAAAGTACCAAACTATATAGCGGTTATAAAATGTTAACTGATGTTAACTGAAGCGGTTGATTCATCAGTTTTTGAAGAAAAAATCTTGATAAGGGAGGACCCAGTGGTAATTTCTTTGGTACACCATCTGATTGTTTTTAATATTCATAGTCAAATCGAGAGAGGACATTATTCTTACATCTGAATATTATCGTTTTTATTGGGGAAACAAGAGTTAAGGTTTATATACTCTTCTCTTTCAGTTCAGTGAAAATAAAATTCACTGTTTTCCATAGTAGAACATTAATAAACAGAGATGGTTCATCTAATAATCTCATAAAGTTATTTTTAACTTTCAAATATCTTATTTTATCAACAAATTCAAAAGAACAAGTTATTCTATGCTTAACAATTCCCTTATTCAGTTGTTTCAAGATTTATACTAACCATTTTGCTGTAGCGTGATAAGAAGAATTATCCATATCGAATATGAGTTCGACAGTTAAGCCTATTTTTGTATTTGAGGTAGGTTATAGAGTTTTGTTGTTGTCACTGTAAGTCGTAGTATTTCAAACGTTTTCTAAAATTAAACTTAATTGTTTAATCTTTTCCAAAGAGTTACTTAGTTGATTTCGATTTTGTCTCGCACACCATATCCCTCAAATTTGCTTCCACCATATAGGAGGGTATTCATTTAGTCTGAATAATCGTTTATGTCTCTGAGATCCAGCCCATAACTTTTTCTGTATTACGAATTGTCACCAATTTTAAGCTTCCATAAAGCTTATTTGTATTTCTTATAATAATATATTTCTCGAATTATGTTTGTTTAAGTACTTAAAGCAGTAGCCAACTAGAGTAGATATATATCTTTCGACAAAATCTACTATTTCCGTATACGAACTTTCGAAATGAATTTCGACACCCGGTTTAAGAGCCTTTTAATACCACAAAATTTGGTGCCTAGAGATAATTCTACTGACTTAGCCATGTTAAGAATAACACAGAATGTCCCAAACAAACTAACCTAGATTCAATGGAAACCTGATCACAAGAATGTATTTCTTTAGACTTATCATCAGTTTATTGCGTATCTTCACTTCTCTTTGCTCAATAACAATAAATGATGGACATTTAAATGTAGGGTCGAAATGAAAAACTAACTGAAAAGAAATAATGACTCTTTCTATATGTGCTTTTTAATGTTTCATTTATTGATCAAACGTTTGTCCAAATTATGAGACATTCAATTTTAAAATTTAAACAATGAATCCCTGTTATAAATGACTTGATCTTGGTAGTTCATTTATATATTGTAAACTGAAAAGCTTATTATTTGAATTTTTCTAATGTGAGATAACAGTAGTTTTTTTAACTTACGTCTGACTAATGTCCCATCAAACTGAATGATCTTTCTCGAACCAGTTGCGTGTTAAATACATCATAAAATTACTCGCTGGTGTATCATAGCATTGATGTATTAGCAATAACTACTATTTAAATTAATCTGTTTCTTTGCATAAATATGCTTATTCAAATTAGGAATATGAAGTTTAAGACTGTCGAACACCTTAACTTTTCATTGTTAAAGATAATGAAGAATTTAAATGAACATACTATTCAGATTACCAAATTATTATTTTAAGAAAATATTACCAGTAAATGAGTACGTGAATTCATTTCCCTATTGTCATCGATTAGACGGTATAAATTTAAATCAATAAATCATCTGTAGCTCTCTGAAAAGCATTGTATTATCAAGTATTCAGTATGAATAAGACTCTACAAAATATGCAAATGATAAATCAGGCTAAAGGAAAACCAAGTTTAAAACAAGGTTCGAACCCCTGGTAATTGATTAAAATTCGTTGTGATGCCACTCATCACTTATATATGAAAGCCTCATTTTGTTAATCAAAGTTCCCTCAGACTGTCTTTATAAAATATTGTTCTATAATTCAATCTCTTCTTTTACCTTGACAAATTTGAGCGCGATATGTTAATTATCACTTATATTTTAAACTAACATTTCGGTTTCTCTATATACTTTAAGAAATAAAATTTATCTGATATAATTAGTTTCCTTATCCCATCTGATTTTCTTATAGCAGTATTTTCTTCAAATCATCCACAATTTATTGACTTTTCATTTCATACTTCTATCTTTTACTTAATTCATTTAATTTTATAAGTCAAGTTTTCGTTGGTTATTAATCTACAGAAATTTCGTTCACAATATGTTACACATATTTCTTTTGAATAATAACGGTGCTACTCTAGTAACACCTACAAGTTAGTCAAGTATACACCACATTCCAATTATTTAATTGTCTCACACGAAGAAACATATAATACCTATAATCCTTAATTCATATCAAGTACTTCAAAACAATGTATTTATCTCAAAAGTAGTCATACATTTCGATCACTAATTTAAACTAATAACCACAAGAATTTATTCCGACTTTTCAGAAGAAGGAGCGTAGATTATTTATTTATAGATTGCACATGCTTATGGACTGAGGTGGTTAAAATATGTGCTACGTATCCTCACCTATCTTAATGGGTGATGTTTGTTGGTATAAAAGTACGTTGTAAGAGAGCTAGAGGTAACCAAATAAAGATGTCATTGGTTTGTGCCATATTTCTAGATACAGATTACCTATTTGAAATTTGTGTAATAATTACAATCAATTGTTGGAGACTATGACTGTTGTGTCAAGTTGTTGTTCACAGTGCCGCAAATGCTTTCGATTCATATCATGCTCTCAACCTTGAATCCCAGTATTTTCCCATACATATGTTTACACTGCCTTTTTCCAAAACATATTTCCACTGACTTGTTCTTTTTATTATAAATGCTGCTACTTTATTGCGATATGTTTCTCCAACAATATTTTTATTTTTATCTCTTTGTACTAACTTGACATGGCAACTTGGACAAACGCACATCTACACTGGGCTCTGTGTTGATGATGTATGTCTGCTTGTGATAGTGGTGTTTAGTGTGTTGCAATTGATTAAAGACGTGTACATCAAACGAAATCAAATGTTTAATAACACGAATTTAATTGTTATTCACATAACCCGCCTTTTTATTAACACTGGTGATTTATCATATTGTGTAAGCAATCTATCATTTTAAAAGTACAGTTTTTTAGATTAGATTAAATTGAAACAATTTATTCCTCCTTAATTAAATGATAAATCTGCCTAATTCAGACTTTTTAAATCTTTCTTTACAGAAAAATGTTTATTCTTTTTGTTGCTGTAAATCTCATGACAGGTACACGAAAACTTTGTCGAAATATTTCAAGAGTTAACCTAGTTGAGGAACATTTTGATGTATATGAGATCAAGTAGAAAATAAGTTTTCAAGTTTTTCTTAAAGTATCTCACTTCTATGTTTTGTTAAAACAATGAAAAAGATGTGCTTCGTATACTGTACCTATCAATCACAAGTAGATGATAGACAAGTTAAGCTCAATTAATGATATGAGTACTAAATAGCAATGAAACTTACTTGAATATATTTAAATGATGAACGGAAATAATACCGTTATCATTGTAAATTATTTATTTTCAAACAATAAATGGTTATTTTCTCTTTGATTTATGAACCATTATATACATTCTAAACTGTTTTGATGAATGAACATTAGTTGACAGTTTAAATTTACACAATTTTGGATAGATTTATTTCTGTTCATCAAGAAATACGTTTTTTTAAAAATAACTTTGTCATCTTATTTCATACATAACTAATATTTCAAATAAGTAATAAAAATGTCTTGAAACCAATCTGGTACAATAAGCTTATAATTGAGCGTTTTATTATATTTTACTGATCTGTAAAATTTATTGCTTCAATTGTTATGTACTATTACTTATCTCAAAATATTAAAAACCAATAATACAATATAAGCAAAGATGGATGGCGGCTAGCATTGGAATCTAGGATGCGCGTTTAGTCTTATTTGGAACTTGTAGGCTGGATGTACCTACATCTTAGAGTTGAGTTCACTCTGCGACTAGAGTCTTGCATTCCACCGCCAGACGCCATACATCTCAGCTTATAATGCTTGTGACTTAAGGCTATATCGAGGCAATCTGAATAGGATGCCAATAAGAGACCGATCAGCTACAGTCCTAAACATCAGTGGAAAGAATCAAACAACTAAAATGAACCAACAATATAATAAATGTATATAAACAGCTTATTCGACAAATAATTCACTTCTGTGTTGACTTAGTATAATGCACGGTGAAATTTCCAGTTTAATAGTTTAGTGATAGTTACTTTCGATAATATTTGTTTTCATGCACTATCGTATATGTAATCAACGGGAACACTGGTCTAAGACAACCATTCGTATTCACGTACGGAATTTCAGAATCTCTTGATAAAATATGAGAATCATACAACAAGTAATTAATTTGCGAATTCCCATCAATTGTCCTTCACATTCTGTATGATTATTCATATATATATATATATATATATATATATATATATATATATATATATTACAAAAGTGGATAAGATTGAGGTAAGTAGTGTTATATTAGACCAAAAATTTGGTGAGAGGAGAATTAAAGTTTTTGAAATAAATCGCTCATCTTGATCTGACACAAAGAATTTTCAGGAAATAAAACTTTCTAAAATCTCTCAAAAAATTATTAAGATTTTTAGGAGGCTAGAATATTTTAATTACTGCACCATTAAAGGTTACATTAAAGCAAGGACAACAGTGGTAGGACAATAAAATAAGTTTATTTACTGAGCGGATCATTTTTCCAATTAATCACTTCCTTCAACATTAATATCACTTAATAAAAACAACACAAGACATATAATTTCAGTATGTTTACGGAAGGGTAGTAATTGAGATGAGAACTGACATAGATACAAAACAAATTGGGGCACTAAGTGTGACGAAACGACTTGTAATAAACGTTTTTGCGTTTCATCATTCATAGAATGAATTGATGAACATTTTAATAAAGAACAGAGAAACTCAACTGTTGTGTGAAAACAATATTTTTTTTCGAAATAAAAGTTCTACTATTAAAAGTGAGCCTTAAAATTTTGGTAGCGATAGCTTCAATAAACGCGATAAAATTCCTACCTTCACTGATTGACTATTTTGAATGATTTTAATGTGTCAGCTTGACAAAAATCTAATGAGTGACATACGATTAATATATTAAAGTCACTACAGTTTCATTTCCTATGAGATGTGCCCAGAAATGAGAATTATAATCCTAAATATAATGAAAACGAGTATATTAGACAACAACTAATATGGATAAATATTGCCGATCGGATTGCCTAAGAACCAACATAACTCTATTGACCGATAAAATACAAGATGATCTGCAGGAAGCAACAACGTATTTAAAATTAAAGATTAATGTTGCTGATGCGCTCAGAAGAGTGTAAACTAAGTTATAAATACCTGCCTGTTGTTTAACAGCATACAAAAAAATAGATAGGTGGTTATATTTATGAGATTATTCAGTCGTTCAATTACATAATTACAAGTACTGGGGTAATTATTCTGTTATTTGACTAACACGTCTTCAACAGTATAATTTTATCACTTCAATTGTTCAAATATTTATAAATCTAGGAAATCTTTTCTAAAACTTCATTTGACCATTATGAAACTCCTATCAAAAGAGTAAGTGTTTGCTTATTAGTGTGTTGAATGATTTTAGACGTAACTCAGATTATAATATAAAGTATCATTTATAATAAAACTGTCTCTAACCTGTGTAACGGAATAATACATCTACATCTATTTTAACAATACTTTGAAAACTAGAAACCATTTTTAAAGTCCCGTCTGCTAGTTGCCCCATAATAAAAAATATTGAAGTAAGGAAAGGCATTATTCTAGCCCATGCTAACTATATTGGATCATATCTGTAAACCAAACATTACAAACATTTTTATTGACTTCCTTTTTTCTATGAATTGAAAACAACTAACCGACACAATATTTTGTCATCGTTTGACATTATTAATGCTGAATGGTAAGCCGCCTATATCTCTGGACTACACATTTTTTAACCGTTCAAAAATTGCAGCGATCTTTTTAAATTTCGGTTTGCACTAATTTACTAATAATGTTCACCAACCGAATTAATTATTCATTTGCTCTTGTAAAGCGCATACAACAAACTTATAAATACTTCTATACACAAAAGTATTCGCATATTTTTAGTTCTTTTTCCAGTACATAATAGAACTACGTCTAAGTACATTAAAAGTCGTGTATAAAAGGTGATAGATAAATACTTGACAATACATTCCATCACGCAATGGAGAAGAGATAGTTGAGATAAAGAAATGTCCTAAAATAGTTGCTTTTAAAGATGATTATTGTTGTAGGTTTATTTTTCAATTTATTTTTTGAAAAATAAGATAAGAAGTATGTACTACAGTGTAGACCTATAAATAGTATGGAATAAAACGATGATTACTTATATTACCCTAATATTTTTATTATTATCATAAATTATTATACTTTCATTGATAACAATTTTATATAATCAATATAGGTAACAGCCATTACAGAAGTTCATTTTTGTGCCATCTTAATGTAGCACTGCTTTTATATGCTCAGAATTGGTATCTGCACTTTAAAACTATCAAGTTTTAGAAAAACTGTGAAGATTTATAAAACGCCAAGACATTTTTAGAAACTTTCTATAAGAGAAGTTAGTACGTCTTCAAAAAAAACTATTTAATTGGTAGATAAAGTTCATGTTCCTAATATAATTAGAAAATACTAGTACGAAAACTCCTCTATAGTTACAAAATATTGAATTGAATATCAATCTAAATAATACAAGTTATTTAATGATTAGTTCCCCACGGTTAAGGTTACAACAAAAGTTATTTGTTTTGGAGTTAATGTATACACTTAATAGAACGTTTATATTGAGATTATGTTGAAGTTACGAGAAAATAATCTTTAAACCTGATTAAGTTTCGCATAAGTAAAGTAAATGGATTCATTACAGAAATTCCACATGAAAGTTAACTCTCTAAAACTACCAGGTTGATATATGGTCAGCAACAAAATTAACCTTAAAGTATTATCTCTTGTCCATTATCTTTATTTATTAAACTATAGACATCTTATTTATATACAAAGAATGTTTTATGTTAATTTGAGTATTATAACATATATGCAAAATAATAACTTACATTTGCAGTGCATTAGCTGATTCATAAATATTTGATATTGTTAACAGTATTAAAAACAAAAGTGCAATTAGTTTCATGTTTTTTTTTCAATTGACTGCCTTTGAAAAGTTTCACAAATGTTAGTTCACGCACCAGATTGACTATTCTATATATTATCTTAAACCTATATATATTTGTTCATACACATTTTATGCTTCATTTAACTTTCTCAAATTTGTATTTCTTTTGGCCTCACTAATAAAATTTTCAAATGCAATTGGTTAATTCAGTTAGCATTATTTTATTTGTTTTTTTTTGAAAATGTAATTCTTATTTATTTTCATTTTTTTCCTATCCTTTACTTTTATGAGAAAACTTCTGGTTAGGGGAAAAAATAATTATGTATACAATCATTTCTTTCATGGGATAGAGATTATGTCCCACGTAATATATAATAGATAATTAATGACAGATATAATAGTATTTATTTGGAACATTTAACATGAAAATAGTGTTTGTAATTAGCCTAGTAGAAAATTTTGTTTTTGCTTCTACTAATAAACAAATTGAATATGTCGTTGTACCATGTACAGTCACATTTGAAAAGCTAATATCTTGAAGTGTATAAGGTGTAATGTTTTACTGATAAAAAAAAAGTATAAACATAATACATATGATGTTTCGACTTGAAATATGTAACTGATACAGTTCGATAATGCTTTATTGAGTTTTAATTTCTCTTCATGCTTTGCGTATTTTGAATGATTGAAGCATAGGACTCGTTGATGAAGAGAAACAGTCTAACTTTGCAATAACAAAGCTGTAACATTTATTTATCTTTAAAGGAATTAAGCTTATTGACACTTTTAGCATACCTATAAATAATAATTTAGTTGACATATTTGACAAAATTTACCTATAAATGCACTCATAGATTTCTAGAATCAAATTTTATACTTCTCTAGTGATAAACAAATTGTTTAGTTTTAGTCGTTTGGGATTTTTAGAGGACTAATGTGTTAGTTAAATGTTTCACTTAAAAATCACTTTGTTTAAATGAAACACTTGACTTATCAGTTTGCCTTCTTAATTCAAACATAAAACTGTCACTTAAAAGTTTTGTCTTTCTGAAAACAACTACTAGACATTTGATGTTTACATGAAGGAAACATTTTATAATGTTCAAAGTATAAGTTATATCCATAATTTTTAGTTTGATTTAAAATCCTCATTAGTACCGTTAAGATTGAAAAAATAGTTCATTTTCTAAATAAATGTGTTGTTTTCAATAGTGAACAGTAGAGGAACACTGAAGATGATTGATGATACTTAACACACAAATAAAAACTAAAGATAATTTCAGTATTTTAGTTACTGATAGCATAAATCTTATGAGTACGAACCACTGGTTTCAACGGGATCGCTTGAGAAACTCAGATTGAAAAATGAATAATAAACTCACTATTTTATTGAAATATAGACAAATAATAATTCGGTAAAGAAAACGTTTTCTTTAACGGTATAATCTGCTGAAGATATCACTATAAATGTGTCTATGTACCCTTCATCATCTATTTATACTTCGTCCATAGTATTGTTTAGCTTGATGAAAATAATGAACCAAAATCATGTTTCTATTATAAACAGCCACAAAATGGTTATACTCTCTTTAGATTAAAAATGATTGACTGGACCAAATTCGAAATCCAATTATAAACCTGCAATATACATTTTATGTTACATCATCTTTGTATTATTTCTTGTTTGCCATTACAAAAAAGGCCAAAAAGAAGTGCTTCACATGTGTAAATGATATGTTTAAATGATGTTCTATATCACTTAAAGTCTTAAAGACCATATATGACATATTCGTCTGTATAAATAAACTGTTTTTAAATGTTTACATTTTATAAAATACTGTTGTCAGTAATTGTTTTATTTGTTTTTTGAGGTTTATTAGAAAACCTTCAGTTGTTTGATAAGAACTACTCAGAAGCAGTTGGCAGTTGAATTTTGGTTTACCATAATCTTTCAGAGTATATCAATACATTAATTTTACCTAAGGAATATAGTTATCGTTTGCGGCATAAAGAAAAATAACTACTGTGCTTTCGACATAACTTTTTGTTATGATTGTTGATAAACTTCTGCTTGCTACTTGAATGGAAGAAGACTGATATGACTCGAAGCAAAAAAGGAATACAAGACTGTAGAAGGTCTATTTATGCATTAAGTACTGGTTCTGTGACTGATTTACAGATGATCAAAATTATATACCACTTCTAAAATCCGGTCGAGAGTTAGATTCCAGTGAATTGAACAGACATTATTTGACAATAGTTAACTGATAAGTCAGTGAATGTACATAGTTTACAAAACTAATAAATTACCTGATTTAACTAACGATAATAAATAAACTTCAGTGATTCTTAATACATCATGAAGAAAAGTATTCAACTGATATTACTGAAGTATGCAAAATTTTGTCAAGAATTCTGAGATAAACTACATATACAACATCGTTGTTGACTTCATTATACTCACCAATTCATATAAGTGATTTTCAGTGTCTTCATTATTCTAAACAGTCATTTTATTCCAGTTCGTAAAGTTTTGTGATAGGCTTCTTGTGGTTTGTAGCTGGTATTGATGTTCATTAGTGATAATTAAGTTGAATTCACCTATCTGTTATATAAAAAGAAATCAGCTTATTAACATATTTTAAATTAAGATTATACACTGTCTATATATTTGAAAGCGAAACACTTAAATCCCAGTTAATCAACACATTACTCTAGAAAAAGATAGAACAAGTTGAAAACAGCTCTTTTGTGTTTAAAAGGCCTTGAATTTCGATGACAATATAGCATATAATCGAATTTAAATAAATGCGAAATGTCGTTTGAAAAAAATGAGCGAAATAAATATCTAAATTTACGTAGAAATATTAATTGTTCAAGCATCATATAAATTTATTTACAGGATACATAATGAGCAGACAAAGCATACTCTATTTCACTATAATGTAGGTTATTTACATTTCCCTAGATACAAAGTCACTATTTCATTTAAGTCTATAAATGTATTTTCTACAAATTATAATTTTTACATTCAAAGAACGCAATTCGAAATGTAGGTTACCATAGTTATCCGATTAAAATGATTTAAAGGGTTGTTGTAAAGAAAACATGCTATAAATGAATAATACGTCACATATTAACAATTATATTTACAGAGGTTACCTTTTGGAGATCTATTCGCTGTGAAGATTGTACTTTTTAACTTGAAAACTGATATAAATCAAGAGGTGCCAAATAGACATTTTGGTTTTGTTCTCGAATCCCCACCAATTAGCATCAGTGCTTCAAGTAAAGATAAATATTTCTTCCCGTTTCATTCAGAACTGAAAATTACAAATATATGTTTACAAGCAAAATAATAGTTCATATATATATATATATATATATATATATATATATATATATATATATATATATATATATATATATATATAAGCATTAATGTAATTTGTCATGTAGATGTGTGTTTTACCAAGCCAAACTGTACAATTCATACTTTAACGGTATTCGATACAAACAAATGATTGTTCTCATAATAAAATCACAATACTGATAAGGATTGTTATGATAAATAATATAACATCTATATTATTTGCCTTTGAGTTTTCATTCGTTCACTATCTCATTAGTTATATGACTTGTCATTTTAATTTACAATAATACCAGTATCCACTAATGGTCAAAAAGTAATCACTATTCTGAATTATAATAAATGTCCGAAAGTCAGTTTAAAACTCCTAAGTATTTGCATTGGATATTTTGTCTATTGTCAATAAGCTATTTGACACACTTGTATTCAGATGTTGATACTTATTTCTAAATTCTTTTACATAGATCAATACCATGTTATTTTTACACTAAGTTTTCTTCTAGATTCTCAAAACCATTTTTAGTAACTGATAGGCTTTGAATATCAAACAATATCTGCGTACTCCAACAATGTTTGCTCTTTGATAAATCTGTTCTCAGAACTGTAATTTCACAGCATTTTTTAACATGTGATAATAATGATCAGAAAACATGTCTTAAAATAACTTCGAGTATAGATACTCATCAGTCTATTTCAGTTGGTTAAAATAACTTACTTGATTTGAGATTAATAACCCTTTTTATTATTAAATAGACTTTCAGATTATCTTACATACTTACTGCAGTAAAGAATTTCTTTTATAACGTTAACTGATTTTAAAGCCATCTAGACACACGTTCCAAAATCCTTGATTGAATTGTTCGCTTACGTATCCCTATGTATGTGCCTGCACAATTGGTAAATATAATGGTATGTGACATAATCGTTTGTGTATTTTCTAGGTCTATTAGGATTCACAGGCTTATTTCTCTCTATCACAACCAGTCTAGAAGCGTAATGGGTTTTCTCTATCGCTGCTTTGAGCCTCTGTCTTAAAATCATACTTTAAGATTTGTAGTATCGGTTGTTATGTTAAGCCCATATACTTTGTTCTAGCTTCTGGCCAAGCTAATTCACCTATACATTATGAGTCATATTTCGATCTTGTTCATTATTCGCTTATTAACCTTGACTATATTTTTTATGAGTGTATAGGTGTACCCTTCGTATCCTATTCATCATATGTCTGTCATTCATTTTTGTCTGATTATAAATATTGAGTAATGCTTGCTCATAGCGAGTTGGCTTCCCCGCCATCTCCAATACGCATTATCTTTCGCTTCGCTCTCGAGTTGGTTTCACAGTCATCTCCACTATGCATCATCTTTGCTTCGCTCGCTTACACTTGCTCATGTGCCTACAGCTTTCTGGTCTGCATCATTCATCAATAAAAATGTAGTTGCCGCTTCCTTTTGCCTTCTGACTTTATACAGCGTTAAGATTGATATAATAACGGTTATCGAAGTGAACTATTATTGAAGCACGGCACTACAGATTCACCTCTACATGGTAGAAAGAAATAAACTGTTTTCTTCGGAACAGAGTGAAAAAGAGGTTTTGGTGTTGGCTGACTTTTGCATCTATTTATAAGCTTTATTGAATAACGATTTGATATAAATGTGTCACTCAGCAGTTTAGCGTCCGTTATGTATATTTTTTGAATTCTATTAAAGAGGCCCTTAATCAAGCCTCACTTGTGTTGCTATGGTCAGAAACCGTGACTTCCTATAAACTGACCGCTT